CTTTTGGAACTTCAATCAATCTCGCAAACATCCGTCGCAGCCAGAATTTATTCCGCATTCGGACGCATCGTCTCGCGAGGCCGTATACGTGTTACGTTTGAGATCGAGAGATAGTTATGCAGATAGAAACGCTGCCGCGCGCGCGCGCGCGCCTGGTCAAGACGCTTGCATTTACGCTTGAGGTCGCTACATTCCGTTCTGATTATTATCCGCAACCTCAGGCAAGCCGTGGCATCGCCATGTACCAAACGCGCTCCCTCGCGCACATGTGCGAAACGTGTTTGCATTAAACTGCCGTTTTAAACGCGTTATGACCGCCGCCCCACGAACGAACAGCGGGGATCGACCGCGAATTGATACTTCTTAAAGTTTACCACGGAGGCAAGTGATTTCTCACGATGGCTTCAGAGAGCTTTTATCGCACGAGTGTTCGGTGAAATAGGTCTCTAAATTTACAGTAGCAAAATATAAAACTTTACGAAAGTCGCTCAAATTTAAAGACATTTTATATTTTGCTATTTCTTTAAAATAATAATACAACAGTGGACTAATTAAACGTCTACTTTAAGAAGATATCTCATTAAAGATTCGCGGTTCGCGAGAACAGTGGCTTCTATTATGTCTATATGGAAAGCTCGCCGTGCCAATGATTACTTAGACCTCGATCTATGGACTTGTGTGATTATTACTTAATGACTGCACGAACGTGAGGAAATGTTTGCGGTTGACGCCCCGGCAGCGAGACGGCCTTACAAATATTTTCCATTGTCAGTGAACTGTAGAAAGTGATCTCACACAATCTACAGCCGGTCCTCGGTCAGAGACACAATTTCATGGTCTGGAAATACGCGTGGGCGTCGATACACGAAATCTACATTTGATTCCTATACCGATCAACTCAAACACCAAGTATGACTAGTGTCTATTTTAGGTACGCGTCATCGCGTCGCAATGATATCATCGAAAGAATGCGTTTGTTCGCTTCGGTGATCCAGATAAATGACCGGGGATAGAAGAAAAATAAGTTCATATCTTGTTGGCTTTGTTAGAACGTGAGATCCTGCGTGATTTTATATGACGCTCATATCTCACGTCACAATGGTAAAAATGAAGATCTACGGACTGACAGAAATATGTTAATGCAATCGAGGTCCAAGAAGTTTGTACGTTATGAATAAAAATGACTATAATAAATATAAATTAGAATATTCAACTCTGACTTTACTATATAATTCTTTGTACGTATAGATAAAAAAAATTCCAATTCTTAATTTGGTAGCATAAAAAGAAATGCTTGTTTCATTCTATAATAAAGATGCAAAACAATAATTACTTATATTAAAATACATTATATTTCATAATAATTATTATTATTACAATGTGAATAAACATTTGTATTTCATAATTTTTGAGATTTTACGTGCGACGGCTTGGTTGGGCAGCAGCGTTAAATTCGGCACACATTTACAGACTTGAGACGCAAAACAAGTTTCCTCAATCGGTTTTGACCGCCGCCGGTGTACTCCGATTGGATCAATCGTTTCGTTTCTCTTATGAAACACGCGGAAGAGTAAGCGAAAGAAAAACAGATCCTGTTTAACCTACACCTTGAAAAGCTTCAAGTTTGACCCATTAAATGATAAACTACCAATGACTAACGATATCTGTTCAATTTATGTAATTTTTGTTATTTTCTATAAATTTTGAAACCTGCGTCACATTAGAGTGATTGGATAAGTATAATTTTAAGCTATTGTTGATATCATAACTACCAATGTAATCGATAATGTTAAAACGAAGTCAAAAATATTGCAAATTGCTGACAAAGATTGTTTATTACCGTACTACATAAAAACTATATTTCTCGTCTATTATTTATGACTGTAACACATTACATCGATAACGGTAATAATTGGTTGCAAGGAATTTGCCATTTGTTACAACGATAGATCGCTAATGTCGATCTGGCCATTAGAAACAGTCGCCGTATAATCGCGCGCGACCCAGTTATTACTCAAGTGGTTCTTCCGAATGTAACCTCCAATAGGATCGCGGTCTACATTCTTTCGTTGATGTCCGAGCGCATTAAGGCGATCCGGGCCGCTCCGAAAAGCAGACGCGCACCCATCCCACAGGGGTCAAGGATCGCAGACGCAATCGGACGAACACAAGTGTGTGAGACGCGCGGTTTCTTCTATCCCGTCTTAGTTAATAAACGCCCCGTCAGTTCACACGGTCAGAGAAAGCAACAAAAAAAGTATGCGCGCGGATGGGGAGTGCAAAAAACTCCCGGGTGGGTGGAGGAGAATCCGTTTGTGTCATCTGCTTTTCGGCTTGGGAGAATATCGGGCATCGTGCTCCCCTCGCTCGAGCGTTGCGAGAAAAACGCGAAACGCGTGTGTTACGCCTCAGCGTGCGTTATAAAATGTATATTATTAATTGCGTCATTAACTCTCACACGAGAGTTAATGTATAAGAGCAAAAGTCGCGCGGCGATAAATAATTAAAAATAATATATAACCGTTTTACGCCTGGAGGACTGTTAGTTACGCAAGATATGAGAAATATTCGACTGAGTGTACGTAATCAATATCACGTTCGCGCGCGCGCAACCACGAAGACTTGCGGCATAATAGAAATTAATCAGAGTTAGGAAACTACGTTGCAATATCGATCTAATATCAGGGTGGACGAATTGATCAGTGACATGTTACAGACATCGTTACTATCAATCATTTTGTACGGGGAAAACGATACGCAAATGGATCTATGGGATCTATGAAGGCTCGAGATCACTCGTTAGCCGATATAAGTGGTCAATCATTCATCTGGAAAACGATATTGGGCCGCGATTATATCGGCGGCTATAAGTTTCTCGTAAAGACTACGTTAAAGTACACCGTGCCGACCGGTAGCAGCACTCGCAGGCACTATCTGAGAAATAGTAGGAGGCTGAGAGACGACTTCCGCACCAACTAGTTTTAACGATGAGCCATCGGCCGCCACCTTTCCTTATCCCTCTCGCGGCACGGACGGGGACTCTTCTTGTTTGTTTGCGCTGCGTCGACATGCACCGATGCACTCGCGATGCATCGGTACGCGCCAAAGGACGACGCGGAACCGATCGCGCGCGCACGCATCCTCGCGCGCCCGATCAAAATCAGCGAACGACGAAAGCGTTATCTGCGGCAGCAGCTGATAATCGAAATCGCGATACAAACGGAAATGCAAAACTATATTCAACGCATTTTACAGGTTTTCTAAACCGCGACTTGGATCGCTAAGATTTGCTCGAACTATTTAATTAATGCATCAATTTAACCTGCGAATAATCAGAATTATTTTTAGAACGGTGAGCACATTGAGAAAATGCTGACAGAGAAAACTAGCTATAACGATCAATGATTTTACGGCCAATATTATTTGCATACTTAATGCTAAATATGCGTTGTTACATAATAAAAAGCGTTATTATATATATCATTTATGTAGAGTTGATATATCATTAGAATGTTGACGATTTAAATTCCCTACTGTAAGATCTAAGCAGATTTGCCAAGTGTGTATCCGCTACAGCTAATGAATATTTAAACCAGTCACATGGGAGTGTAATGGTGACACCTGTAACCAAACGCGCGCCTTACGCGAATTCGCAAACAAGAACCGGTTCGCGTACTCTCCGGGTGCCATTGGAGTCGTTTAGTTGGATAAAGTCTCTAAAACAGATGTATAAACATCGGAACAGGAAGGGAATACGGAAAAACAAGCAACGCGGGGCGAAGAACGACTCCGGGGGACTTGTTTCGGGATTTCGTCGACATCGCGGTTAATTTGTCGCGACACGCCTCGCCGTTGGCGATCAACGGGACGATCGATAAGGCCGATGATCGATTTTATTGTGCCGCTAAGTGAGCAGTGTTATGGCACGCTAAATGATCCGTCGGGAAGGATGTACCGAGTCTCCCGCGAGACTGCAAGACGACCTTCCACGTTGTATGTACATTAAACAAGACACGCGTGATTTAGATCGCATCGAACAACATTAATTGAGAGAGACGAGAAATTTATATCAGGACGGAATCATCCCGCTCGTCGTGCTCGGCCCATCGTGCGAGAGAAATCATTTGCTCTTACGGTGATCTGTTCGATAATGAAAAATATTACCGGGCGAAGCTCACGACGTCGATTTCCTTTCACCGCTCGAAATCTTCCGTTTCGGACCTAAGAAGCCGAGGGAATCGAGTCACTTCCATGGAATCAGAATCGATTATCGTAAAGAGAAAGTGGGCGGTCGATTCCACTCGACCTTTTTAAATCAGCGCCCGATCTTCGTCTTCTTCATTCTAAGATCCGGTCGTACAAACGCGATTACGTGAAACGTTGGAACCTTTCACGATTCGTAAACACGCTTTTAATAGCGAAATTGCAAAACAGCGCGTCTAATCGCACGGGTTAAAGATAGAACGAGTGGGACTTTTGAATGCGAGTGATATGTATACGATGATTAATCACACCCGCGGGCAACGCGAGATTTCAAATACGATTAATTTCTTAACGTTTACGACGGATTTTACACGATGTGATATATCAGAACATTTAATTATAAAACAAAGGTATCAGACTGAAAGATCACATAACAGATTGTCGAAAAAAAATACAGAAAAATTCTTATACTATAATTATCTATTGAAGTGAAATGTGTTCATTCTAATAGAATTTCCGACTAATATCTCTATTAATGTCGTAGATAATTCAATATAATATCATGTTTTAGCAGTAATTTAATTTATTAATTAAGAATTCTTGTATTATAAAATTATTACTTTCTAGTTGGTTTCCTATAACTCATTTATATAATTTCTATTAGGTTTTTTTACTCATGTATATTATTTCTTTTATAATAATTCAATAATCGCAAAATTCTTCGGTTTCCTTGATCTTATAGCTTCTCGCAACTAAAATACTAGAAATGTAAGTATTCAAATTCAACGTTGACTTACCTTAACCTTGGCGAGATAGAGCTCCAGTTCCCTGTATGGATCCATCTCCGCTGTCTTGTCACTCGTCACCTTGTCATTTTCGTCACTTTGCACGAGCTTTAACCGATTCGGCATCTTCGCGGTCGAACCATTTTGCAGACGGCCACCACCTTCCTGCATAGTCTCCATGCTCACACCACGGTCACCTCGACGATTTTACACGCATCTTCTCGTGCATCTGCAACATCATGCGGATAATATAAATTAATAATAGTAAAGAACAAAATATAAACAAATATATTCGTCACGTGAGTGGCAACGTATAAAGTAATTGCGATAAAAGTGTAATTGTCAACTTAAAGATTCAATCAAATAAAACTAAAAACAATTTAGACAATTTATCAGGAATCGGTTAATTCAAAAGACTTCAAATTTCATTCGGCAAAAGACGTCAAAAAAGATAGAGAACAAAATTAATAGAGAAATTATAACGCGTACGGTGCTGAATTGAGAACGCGAGAAAAGAACTGGAAGGCCAAAAAGGACCTATGGGTGTATTCTGGCAAAGGCATTATATATATATAATTAGCTTCTCGCCGTGACTCACTACGGCCGCTGCGTTGCGCGGTCCATATAATCTGGGCTTGTCAAATACTTGAAAAGGGTAAAATGACCACCTGCGCTGTTATGATTGCATTTGGCTAAATTTAGCGGCCCGCGCTAGCATTAGTCACCGAGGCTAATTATATTCCGCGCAGATTAGCCGTACCGTCCGCACGTGTGGCTAATCTGAAATCACTTTGTATCCACTTCCCTGCTACTCGAAATTGTGTCACGTTTGCAACAATCTACATACGTGTTCTCCGCAGACAGATATTCTCTTCCACATCGAAGATATTGATTGATAGAAAACGTGAGTGATTTTATCTCGTTGTTTTTTTTATATACGTTGCAATTTTTAGTATTAATCGTGAATAAATATAAGAAATTTTCAATAAGTCATTATAAAGCAGTCTAGTCCGTAACACACTCATATTATTATATACTAATAATAATTCATGCAATAAAAAATATTATATAACATATGCAGAACTATCAAATAAATTATTTTACAAGTTAAACGTTTTGTTAATTTTCCATAAATGTTCACATATTAGTGATTAACATTATAAACATCCTAGAATTCGAAGTAGACGAGTTGATGGCTTCGATGTGAGGCGACATAAAGGGCATATGAAGTATGTTCAAAATGCAATCTGGTAGAATAATTTCTCTCATTTCATTCAGCTGTAGCAACGACATGGAGGCGTTGAATTGATATTTCTGCACATGGAGTTACGTTAATAGTACCGAGACAAGTGCGATAGTGAAGCTAAAATATGAGCACGGCTTTACGCTCCGGCGAGCTGGCTAATAATAATTAACATTACATTTTGTACTCGCTTTCGACTACCGTATATAACTTTATCATATAGCGAGTATCACTACCCACCTACGAAAAAATATTGAATCATAGGTAGCGCGACTTTATCGGTTAACTTAATACAGCTCTATCGAGTTTTATAATTATTGTAAAACGACTCTCGTAATCTGTTACGTTGAGTTTTTGCCATTATTGTAGAGTTTCCGGTAATCAATTATGTCTTAGCTAAATCTCTGCAATTTATATTAAAACTTCGGGAAAACTATTGATAGATCGTGCCGTACAATATAATCTTACCTCGCAAAACTTCAATAAATCTTTACAATTGCAAAACTAATTCCAATTGTATACGTCTTGGGATAAAATATCAATTATTGTAAAAATATTATTCAAGGTCAATTATTCCTTTCATGCGCGGTGAAATAGCATATACGTAAATAGAAAAGAATAACAAGAATTTGGCACTCCTTAACAAAAGTTATATAATATATTAAACAAATCATAATTAAATGAATTAAATTGGCCGATCGTATTTTACCTGATATGTTTGTATATCTCAATAGATCGACGTACACGCGATTGCAAGATTACGAATCGATTATATCGCGACCTGCTCGAAGAATACAATGCGACCGCCGTTCAAATCATTGAACTCGCCAACAATGAAGTCATGCATGAAAACACGAATCGCCTGCCCGCACACGTAATATTAGAAAATCACCGGATGTCTAATCGTGGCCGGCTGCCGGCAGCCAATACGTCAGGTGATTTCACAGGTGAACGACGGTGCTCGTCGCACCTTACGTAAGTACAACTCACACCGGATAACAGCCATGTTTATGTATGAATGCAAATTCATAAGATCGAAAAAGGTTCGTTCTTTTTAAGAAATATCTATATTTATTTCGATGAGAAAAATATATTTTTATTCTTATGTTTTAAAAAACTGTTTAGTAAATGCTTTATTTTTTTCTATTAATCTGGTTTCACTTTGCAATTTTAAAGGTCAGAATTGAAATATGAAGTTCCAAATCTCTCGAACGTTTGAACAAAATAAGATTTTACTACATGTGAATGACAAAATAAATGGTTGAATTTTTGCAGGAGTACGCTGAAAATTTTTCTTATATTTTGATGGATAATACGAAGAATCTTTTTTTCCGATTCTGGATCGCGTTTTATTACCCGGAAATTGCAGTCAAAATTCCAACTCATCTGTCTTAAAGTTAGCGTAGGACGTGGGAATTTGTGGCTCGCGATAGGTAGGTGAGGGCTGTCAGAATGCCTCGTAAATAACTACGATACCGATGCCTCCCGGTACCCGATACCTTACCCTAATCGAATACCATTCTGCGAGAGGCGGACACGGCCCGTTGGTTAAACTGAATTAAACGGCCCGCTAGCCGCGAAAGAGAAAGAGAGAGAAAGAGTGACGCGCGCCGTTCTTATCAGTAGGGAATTATTGCCGGTAATTTACCCCGCAATCCTTTTGCTCCTGGGCGCGTTCACACCTGGGTGGCTCGCAGGAATACAGACGGAACAGATCGGAGATCGACTTCGCGGCATGTATTAACTACCAGCGCCTTACTACGTAAATATCGACACGTCGAGATTTTATCTGCGCGATATGAATTTGATATTCCGATGATTTTTTTTTGCAATTCGTATTTGTTGAATTTTCATAACCTTTAGATATATATATATTTATATATTATTTCATGCACATATAGTAAACAGGATGTCTTTCTTAAAAATTTGCTCTCTTTCTCTGAATAAAAATAACTAGGACATTATTAAAATATATTAAAATATGAAATGTTACAATTAATTTGTTACACGCGTACATCAGATATATAAAAATAATAGCATTACTTCTCGTTACCTTATTAGTATCTTATCTTATGTAATTATGTTAAAAATCAAAAGACCTTGCGCGGAGAAAAATAAGAATTTGTGTGAACTTGCGCGCCGATATATTGACTTGACATTTAGATACAAGCGATATCCAAACATTTCCGCATGTGTGGGCGGCCGTAACTCAATTCGCGAGATTTTTATTCTTCCGGAGCCTTGCTCTTCCCAAGGTGCGATACGTCGGCGATAATTGTTTTTAGTGTCTTCTCACCACCAGGAAGGCAGGCACGACGGCTTCGTGCTAATCGAAATCGTAAATCCGACTGATAAGAGCGCTGAGTGTTCCACGTACGACATATTTGTTACGCGGAACGGAGCTTTAAAGCTATTTTCGTTTCTTTTTACGGCACGTTATTATCGCACTCTCGGACGCTGTTACGTTCCGCAAGATCTTTGCTCCCGTCGCGTCGCGTTACAACGAGGCGTATTCTCGTACACGTGGGCGGAAATGATAGCCGATCATTTCACATTATGCACAATAATGAGAATAGCAGTGAGAATAGTTATCCGTGCTGGCTGCAAAGTGACTATTTATAATTTTGGAAAAAAATCATCTGTACCAAATGTAATAAAACAGAAATTAAAATTTGTCTTAAAATCCATTTAGCTCCTAGTTATTTAAACGCAAAAAGATACAAAAAATAAAGCAATAGGCATGAATTGCTCCTATGTATCGACGTAATGCAGTTTATCTAGTCGCAAATACAGTTAAAGGACCACCAGCAAAGGCCGAGTTACGTAAGGTTAATTGCGCTCGTTCGGACTGCCATGCAGTGCTCGATACTTGTGCAAATCGCGTCGGTGCGTGTCCCGTGCATGTGCATCGACGGCGACCATAATCATGGGACCTTGCTCCCGAGGCTCTCCCCCCCTACCCTCCTTCCGGATACTTTATGTAACGCATTGTGGGGCCGGTTATAGGACTACATCCGTATAAGCTCCGCATTATTTGCCGTTCCGAATTTGAAACGCGACTCTCAAATTCGTTTTATTAGCTTGTCCATCTGTCAGGCTAATCTGCAATTAATCGCTATCGCGACCGTTATCTTGTAATTTATGTAAAATTATTCCGCCTGGCCCCACAGTGCGTTCTAATAAACTGCCGCAAACGCTAATTCTATTAACTACGTTGACACACTAAGACTGACACGTCGAAAAATAATGTTCGAAAAATTTCTCCACGTTTCAAGGAAAATTGCCAACGAAGAACGAAGACAATTACTGGAAGGTTTGTTAAATGTAGGTTTCGACTAACTATGTGAATCACACAATGACCAGCCTATTAACCTTCGCAGCCGTTCGCTACGTGCAATTGCGGACACGAACTATTTTCCTCGTCTAGACTCATTGACATCGTTCTCCGAAAAGCAGCGGGAGGTGCTATCGCAACAAAAGAAGAAAAAGCGAACGCACGAGAGCACTAGAAGTCAAATAATGTTTTGTGCTTATAGGAATCTTTCAAGTAGGTTCATTTCTCAACAGTCCTTTTCACAATCTTGACACAAAATAGATTAGCAAAAAATTTTTATCTTTTTTTTCAGCATAATTTTCACGCAATCTTTATAGAAAGTTATGTAAAAAAATTTAATATATTAAATTTTTAACTCAATATACTTATTTAATATATGAAATTATAAATATATTAAATAATATATAATAAATAGAAATTTAGTATATTATTCAGACTGTCTTGATGTACCTCATAAAAATTCCTAATGTCAAAAAAACTATTCATCTTCGATTTCACATTATTATTGAGTTAATGAAAACAAACTTAATGACGATAAAATAATAAGCGACTAATATATAGCGATTAATATAAATGTAAAATCTGTTCACTAGTATCACAATTTAGACAGTGAGACGTCCAGATGCGGGACACGCAGATTACTTCCTTCCTC